AAAAAAATTGTTTTTCATAAAACAAATAATAGGTACTTTATTCAGAGAAAAAAGGGTACATAATTTAGAGAAAAAAATAGGTACATTATTTAGAGAAAAAATAGGTTCATTTAAAAAAAAATGTTTTTCATAAAACAAACAATAAATAGATTATCAAAATATTTTTCAACATAATTAGAATGTACACTATTATTCATAAAACTATAGTAAAATAGATTACTAGTAGTATAATTCATAAAAGGAAAACAACAACAAAAATTTATTAAATAAACCAAAACGTTTTTTTTTTTTGTCATAAAATAAACCAAAACGTTGCTAATACGTTAATGTTAAATTTAATATTTAATTTCAAATAAGTTTCTAAAATAATTCCTTCATCCATTAAAACCATTTGAAGATCTTTCCAAATTCAACGTGTGTCATTAGTTACACCTCCACATAACACGTTAACTTGTAAATAGGGGTAGTTTTGGAATCTGAAAAATAGAATAAATCAGATTTTAAGCTAGATTAGGTAACTTGCTTACTTGGATCCTAGTCAGCGGGTTTTACTTTAAAAAATTGGGTATTTTAAATAGAAAAATAAAGGAAAGGGTTGTAGGTGATTACAAATGAATTTTATGGGTCTAAGCTCAATTTACTATAAAATCAATCAGCAAAATTGTTTTCCTCTTTTTCACATTAAAACCAATTCTACTTTTTCCTACTCTTTTTGGAACGTGATTTCTCTTGATATAAAACAAAGCTTGAAGACCTTTGTTACTTACTTCTGCAAAAACTGATTTGTGAGATTTATATTGAGAGAAGCAAAGGTGAGTTCATGAAAAATTAGAATGATAAAGCAACTTTGTGAAGCTTTTTATTTCTAGTTTGCATCTTCATATTTCATATATTCCATATTGGAAGCTACGGGTGGGCACGGTATGAGATGACAGGGGATGGAGGTCATCCCGGTGTCAATCCTGAATAGAGGAATCGGTACGGGATGACACGGGATGGGAGTTTTTGAAAACACGTTCAAATCATACCGGACCCAAACGGGATCGGTATGATTCGGTATCAATGTTGATACCGTAAAAAATATGCAAATTTTCAAGTTCAATCAAATCTGAAAATCAAATCTAATAACAAACAAAACAATCAATCAAGAGTTCAAGTTCAAGACATTTCAACAGTCAAATTATAAAGCAAGAAATGGAAATCTCTCACATAGACTTTTACAAAACAAATCAAGTCAAATTAAGTACAAACTTCAAAGCAAGAAATGGAAATATTAAATGGCATGTCCCTTTCCCTTTGGATCTACACCAAATGTGTTTGTACTAGTGGCAGCAAATGTGTTTGTACTGGTGGCAGCAGCTTCAGTACTTGCATATTCTGCAAAAAA